TGCGGTGCGAGGGCAGGGAGAGGTCTTTTCCCGTTAAAATGGCGAAGAACCTATTGTGAATGAATCGCTGGAAAGCTCCACTCAGGGCTCTTTCACCTGTGTGTCTCGCTGTGCCAGCTACCTGCTCGGTCATCTGTGCAAATATGTGATAAACCCTCTTGAGCTTGGCTTTGCGTGCAAAGTTTGGGGTGGTGTGGGATTTTCTTCGCTCAGGGTGCTTAGGGGAGTGCTGTGCTGTTTAGCTCATCCTGTGTTGAGTGAGAGTCTGCGTTCACAGTGGCTAGTTCCAGGATGGAAGCCTTGGAATGGGCTTTGATATCGTTCTGCTCACTTTATAGCAGTGCTGTGATTTTTGTTCTCTTACTAATCTCCTGTTTCTGCTTCCATGGTCAGAATTTGGTTTTCTTCTTCTTTCTCCAACCCGTTTTCCCAGTTCGGTGCTGCTCTCTTAAAATGCTGGTTTCTGGTGGTCAACATAGTCAGTTTTTCTGGCTTTACTTAGTTGATACCTTTTCCTTCAGAGAGACGTGTTTAAGATTTCATAATTGCTACCTTTATCATTGCACTGTTTAACGGGTGTGTAATATTTTCTTCATCACAGGTCTTGGATACAAAAGACATACAGGTTTTTAAAGTGACTGTAAATGGACAGGATGCACAGTTTGCTTTTGGAGAAAAGCATAGTTTCAAGGGGACCTCCCTGAAAATCACATTTCCGTTTGAACTAAGAAGGTACACGCTTTTGCTTGTTCCTTTAGGTGATTTCCAAAATGCACTGTATAACCTGCTTCTCATCTTGTAGGGTTGTTGTGTAAAGCTTGCAAAGGAACTTATAAATAAGGGTGTTGTGTTCATTTGGTATTGATCTTGTAGATTAATTTGATATTTGGCTTTCATTGGCCGAAACTTTGGGAGTCTTTTTACCTGCCTCCAGGTCATATGTAATGTACAAAATGACTTGCTAAACTGTATAGCAACATTATGTGTAATGTGTGACAGTTTTTCCAGTGCTTCTCATCAGTTATTTCTGCTTCAGCTCCCTGAATTTTGTCTTGTTCAGGATTGCCACAGTGTAGTGCCTATGGAGTTACAGCCTCTGTTTGCCATTCTTTTATACAAAGCTGATTCTGCGTTTCTGTAGAACTTCAGGTTGTCACTGTGATTAGATAGAAGCATGTTTTCAAATCATAAAAGTTTTATTGTGTTGGCTATGCCAAGTCCAAGTTCCTGAAGTCTGTAACTCGAGTTTTCACAGCATGATGGAGCATGAGCTAATTAACCACAGTCTGCCTCTTAAGTTGCATGAATTAAAAGTTGCTGCCAAACTGCAATTTTTTTTTGGCAGTTTGCTCAGACCTCACCCCTCCCTGGTGCCAAAGCTGAAAGCTGTGGTTGTGTAAGGAGGTTCCCTTGTTTGAATACAATTGTTGGGTCTTATTGTTTGGTTTTCAGAACTGCTTATGACCTCTAAAAACTTTTGTTTGTAATCTGTTTTTGCTAATGTTGTACTCTGTGCAGTTTAGAAACAGACAAAGTGGGAGCGGGAAGGAATGTCCTACAATAGTTGTCCCTTCTGAGGAAACACGCATGATCTGATACAAAACTGAACAAACGAAGTACCTGAGCGAACAGGCCACAGCAGAAATGGAGGCCTGTTGCTTTTGTTTGACAAATTCCCTTGTGTGGAAAAAAAAGCTACAAAGAGGGGGTTATGAGCTGCTGTTGTAAGAATTTATAATCATGTGTGAGATATAGTCCCCCATGCAAGTACCAATAAAACAGTGATAGGAAGTTAGAACTGGATGTCTGAATTGGGAGTTAGAACAGGAGTTAGAACTAAATGCCTTCTGGTGATATGAATCATTTTCTCTTTTCTTGTCAAATATGTACTTTGGAATACTGGTTATAAACCAGATATTTGTACTTGGTCAGCTTATCTAGTATCCAACTCCCCTGATTACCTGAGGTTTGTTCTGATTAATGGTTGAATCGTTCATTCCAGAGAGTTGCATGTCTAACCTGGAACTTTCTGAGAACAGAAGCAAATATGTCTGAGTGCTTTTGGTGTCAGTGATGGTTAAGATATGTTATTTAAAAATAAGAGGATGAATGTATCAGGGTTTTGTGTGTTGCCTTATTAGCAAGCAGATACCTGTCTTGCAAAGAAGTGTTAGTTTTTACTTTATACCAGTTCTGAAACCCTGGATAAAATTTGAACATTTTTTATGTTTCTTGTTAACCCAACTCTTAATGGGGATTTTCAGTAATTACTGAAAACTCTGTTTTTATTTTTCTGGTTTGGGATCATACTTTTACAGCATAACATCAGTTGTGAAATCTGATTATTTTTTTTTATGTGAATGAAAATATGTGAATACACATTGTTATTCAGTCATTTATGTTCTTATGGAGGGTTTTGCACCTTTTTGTTTCCTTATTGGAGTGGGGTTTTTATACTTAAGTGTATAAAATAGATAGATGTGACAAAACTGTAAATATGTAGCTGGTCCAAATAGTTCAAAGAAGTCCATACTCTTGGAGAGAGGAGAGGAAAAGTTTCTGGTTAATAAAAACAATAATAAAAGTGTCTTGGGACATGAAAATTGAAATAAACCAGCTAATTTTTGCTATCATAATTGAAATGGAAAAGTTGTTTTTAGTATGCTGCTTGTTCTCATTTTTAATGCTTTTGAGACAGTGCTGCAGACCTATTTTCCAGAAATCCTTGTAGAGGAATTTCAGTGTGAACAGGATTTGTGTCAAAACAGACTATGTTCTTTGTTATGCAGGGGACAAGAAGCAATTGTCGAAATCTCTTTTGAGAGCTCTCCAAAGTCTTCAGCTCTCCAGTGGTTTACTCCAGAGCAGACTTCTGGAAAGAAACACCCATTTCTCTTCAGCCAGTGTCAGGTTGAGTTCTTTTATTTTTATTTTTATTTTTTAAACTTGTTTATATACCACTGTAAATTCCCTTGATTTCTAAAGAGCAGGAGAAGAAGGCTAGTAAGGGAAAGTACAGTATCCCATAACTTCTAACTGTGTGTGTCAGAGGCCCTAAATGAAAATACTTAATGCCAGGACATTGCTGATGTTTTATTCTGTGTTGACAGTTTAATAATTCTCTAACTGCTTTATCCTCCCCAGTATTCTTGTTGAAGAACATACAGTCCTTTGGAATCAATATAAATGACTATTGATCTGTCTCACCTATCATTATTTCTTTTACAAAAGCCTTAACTGCAAAAATGACTGTAAACTAATAAGTGATAGAAGTATTGGTTTGTAGATAATGAATTCTCTGGAGGAGCTGTATAGATTTCCACTATAGTATATTAGTTGATTTATTTCTAGTCCTCTGCATTAGAAAGATTGTTATGCTGTAACTTATTTCTTTTCTCCCTCTCTAGGCTATCCACTGCAGAGCCATTTTTCCATGCCAAGACACACCTGCTGTGAAACTAACCTACTATGCAGAGGTATATGAACCTAAGTCATGTGTATCTTAACTAAAGACAAACTGCTACAATGGGTCAATTTATATGGGGGTATTTTTAGGCCAGGATGTGGCCTAAAATATAACCTGAGAATATTGACTTTTGGGTTAACGTAAGAGCCAAGAACTGCTTATCTCCCCCATGGCACTTCTCTAGCTTGATTTACCATTTTCTTTTATCTATATTAACTCTTTTTTCATTCACATATATCTATTTCCAAAAGAGAAGAAGAAAGTGCAGTAGTAAGAAAGAAATATGTTTTAAAATCAGGACAACCTGCCAGTAAGGCAACAAAGAGTGCTGTAACATGAAAATACATGAAAGGACTCTCATGTATGCCTTAAATCATGTATTCTGGTACACAGTTAGGGGATCTTTGCAGTCCTGGCATAAATAGTTCAATTGTTTTAAGGAAGCAAAAAGTAAGATGTGCAATATGACATTACAATTCAGTTGTCTGAAGAAAATGAGACTTGTAACTTCTTTTGGAAGTAATCCTTCTGGTTAATGAAATATTGCCAGTCTTCAAGTCAAAGCTTTCTGTATGCGTTATATTCTACTTGGAGAGAACAACAGAACAAATATGGGCCACTCATCACTTCTTGTGGTGTTTTGTGTAATCCTGAGTGGCAGCTGCATTGCTTGTGTTTGGATAACCTTTCAGATTTCCGTCCCAAAAGAGCTGGTGGCTCTCATGAGCGCGAATCGCGACGGAGAGGTGCCTGACCCAGAGGACAGCAGTCGGAAGATATACCGTTTCAGTCAGAATGTAAGTGCTCCAGGTCTTATTCCTAACTCCTGCAGTTCACTGGTGCTTCAGATATGGTTTTGATGTCATTGATAAATGATGAGACTCACCAATGGGTCTTTGCCACTAGATAAATACGAGGTGTTATGAATCGCCAACTCCTAGAAGACAACCAGGTGCTGGTGGTGTTTACTGGTTATTTTTGGCATTCCCAGAAAAGCCAGATTTGAATTTTGAAAACAGCTGGTATACTCAGAGCTGTCAAAACCCTTTCTGTCTGAATCACTGAGCCTTGGAAAATGATGCAGATGCAAGTAATGTGGGAGTGAGTTTTGGAAAACAGACCCTGCAAGTTTTAAGCTCACCAAGATCTTAGCGGTGAAACTCAGCATTGGAACCAGTTTTGAGCTTGAAGTTAGGCAAATTCTGACAACAGAGGTTTGAAATTTTTTTTTTAAGGTGAGAACTTTGGCTTCTATGGAAAGCATCTCCAGCTAATTAAAGATTACTGTTCTCTGGATGGAGTTTTATTAAGTGGTGCAGCTAGTTTAATGATTCCATGCTCCTAAAGCAGCAGTCTTGATTTACTCTTCTGGCATTTTTGTTCTCACAGGATTTTTGGGTTCCAGTTCTGATGTTTTTGGGATTTCTTGGTGAGCTTAGTTCATCCAAAAAAAAAGCAGACAAACATAAGTTTAAAATATAAGTAATTTTTATAGAAGATCGGGATTGCTGACAGATTGAATGACTGAGGGGAGGGATGGAATTGTGTGTTTGGAGGAGAGGAGGGGAACCTACTCTGAACTACAGCAGCTGTTGGGTTTGATTTGGCTGCTGCTTGAAACCTGAGAGAGGGGAAAAAAAGTCACCTTGTCTGTGAGCTCTTCAATGTGCTTTAAAATATAAGTAATTTTTATAGAAGATCGGGATTGCTGACAGATTGAATGACTGAGGGGAGGGATGGAATTGTGTGTTTGGAGGAGAGGAGGGGAACCTACTCTGAACTACAGCAGCTGTTGGGTTTGATTTGGCTGCTGCTTGAAACCTGAGAGAGGGGAAAAAAAGTCACCTTGTCTGTGAGCTCTTCAATGTGCAATGTTCTGCCTTCTCTGTGGAGCCTAAACGTTTGCAGTCTGTCTAATGCATGAGGCTTCTATGTTGTGTGTGTTCCTGAGCTGTGTGTTACCTAGAAATACACTGTTGCTAAGTTTGGTGAACCTGTACAAGGAATAACATTGAGTCTAACTGAAATACACTACACTTTCTAATACAGAAAAGCATTAATTTGTTAGAAAAGGCATGTTTTTCATTAAAAGAAAAAAATTAACATGCATTAAACACAAAACATACAAATGCAAAAAGACAAATGCATGATAAAAGACACATTGTGTTATCTAACATACAAAACTGCTGAGCCTACCTAAAGCTACTTTCTTTGCTCTTGCATGGCCAGGCTGGTAAGAAGTTTATTGGAAGTCAGCCTCTGTAAAAATGAATTTACAACCCAACAGCTATTGAGATTTGAATTTCAAAAATGTCAGATTAGCAAATTGGACATCAGGACGTAGAGATTTATTGACAGTCTTTTAATAACTTGTCTATAGCAGAAGTCAATGGACTTAATTCTTTTCAAGAGTATTTTCTGTGGGTTAATAGGTAGAATCAAAACACCCATGATGATATGGATATTTTAATAAATGATATTTAAATGGTTTGGGGATAATGGTGGAATAAAATTTTCCAAAATGTTGTCTCCAACTCATTATGATTTAAAGTCTTGCTTATTTAACAATCTTTAGTCAGATGAAGTGGAACTTTTACAAGGATGGCTGTATTACCCCCTTTTCTTTCCAGAGCACTGGGAGAGAGAATTTCTCTATAAAGATATTTTAGTTTTGGAGTTTTTTCATTAAAATAATAAACACTTAGAGTTTATTTTAATTCCAAACATGGAAATCAAATATTTTCTTTCCTGAAATTTTTGTATCCATAAATATTCTTGTTTGCTTCATTAAAGCTCTTCCTGCATGTTTCTGTGTGAGAAAACTGCCTTTGATCAGAGCAGTATCTCTGAAATTCTCCTTGCATAAAATTTAATGGAACTGGAGTGAGTATAGAAAACTGACTTTCTTTTGAACAGAAACCCAACCAGTGGCATTTCTGTATGCAGGTTTTTTCAAACAGAGATGATACTTAGTTTTGTGGCTTTTGCATGAAATATCTGTGAAGCAAGTACATCCCATGGATAAAGGAATATCATATGGGGAGGAAAAAAAACCAGTGCCTTCAAAAAACCCAAACAAACACTGCCTGCCTCTAAGGCAGGAAACTATGGAGGAAAATGGCTTCATTTACATACCTTTGTTTTTCTCTTAGTCAGTGCTGTTGATGACTCACATTACAAATAAGATTTCTTCTTTTTCCCCTCATGTTCTCTACTAGGTTCCCATACCTTGCTACTTGGTTGCTTTAGTGGTTGGAGCTTTAGAAAGCAGGTGAGTGAATCTGCACAAAGGGTGAATATTAATAACCATAATAAATCTTCAGAGGTAACTTTTTAAAAAATGTGTTTCTTGGTCTTGTTTCTAGTTTTAAAAGGTTCAATTAACCTGTTTATTTATATCAAACTGCATGTATCTTGATTGGCACTTGCATGATGTTTTTATTTTGCTGTGAGGTAGAGAAATAGCATGAAGAGTTTGGAATTCAAACAGCCCTTAGTGGTTACAAGCTAGCACAGGGGATAAATCTTCTTTTTCAGGTAACAGATAAGCTTTGTCATGTACAAAAGGCAGAAAAGTATAACTTCAGCTTAATTTCTTATCTGCACAAGGCTGTGTTAATCTAGGTCATAGTAATTATTTATGTTAGGACTTTAGCATTTAAAAATCTGTGTTTCCTGTTCTTTTGTACTGAACAGTGGACGTGTGTTGTTTGTGTTCTAAAGCAGAAGAGTAAAAAGAGACAAAGAGTAATGAATTTCTTCTGCAGCGCTGGTTACTCATGGGCAGAGTTAAACATATGCTCTCTGTATTAGTTTCCCATAGAATTCTTTCTGGTTCATAGTGTCTTAGTGGCATTTATTTTTACTTTCCACAGAAAGATTGGGCCAAGGACACTCGTGTGGGCTGAAAAGGAGCTAGTGGATAAATCTGCCTTTGAATTTTCTGAGGTGGGTGATTAACAGCAACGATAAAAAGTTTTGTAAACTAACTGTTTCACATAGTATTGGAAAAGAAACAGACTGTGGTTCAGTGTTTTGTTCATCCTGAGCTCACCTTTTTTACATTTAGCCTCCAAAAATGCTGCTATTCTGTTATTATTACTATTATTATTACAAAATTATTACTGAAAAGACATTGATAGTCTTCTATTTGTTTTGCATGCCAAGGTGAAAGAGAATGAAATATGGGATCCATAGCTTCTTATTTGCTCATTGTTTGTAGTCAGAAGTTGTCTCAGAAACTAATGTGAATTCTTGTTTCAGGCTGAAGCTATGCTGAAAACAGCAGAAGATTTAGCAGGACCTTATGTTTGGGGACAATATGATTTGTTAGTCTTACCACCTTCTTTTCCTTATGGTGGTATGGAGAATCCTTGTCTTACTTTTGTAACTCCAACACTATTGGTAAGTATAACAGTGATAATAGTCAGCTTTTCCTCAGGGCTTACTTATCCACAAATTTGGATTAATCTTCCTAGAAATACCTGTAAATGTTCCTGCCTCCTTTGGAGTTAGGGGTCATACAAGAAACTACATTAAGTGGTATATTTCGGGTTTACTTGAACTGACAACTAACTTGTCCTTTTCTTTTTTTTTTTAGGCAGGTGATCGATCTCTATCAAATGTAAGTCCAAAATAGGTTAATGTCTTCAAGTAGAACACAACTTGAAGTTGTATCTTAACTTCCTTTGTGAAAGATACCTGTAAACCTGGTCTCTTTTTCATTGGGGAAATTAAAAGTTGAGGCAGTAACTCAAGAAATCTTACGAAGTGAGTTTTAGTTCTAAGTAAACACTAGAAACTGGAGATGTATCTATTTCTTAAAATGGACAGAGGGAAGTAACGTGGGTGTCTGTATGCATAGGGGGACGACTGAGAATAGCTGCCTGGGAGCTCTTTTCCTCTCCAGTTAAACCACAACACCAGTGTACAGATATGTTTAAAAACCACAGCTGAATTAACCTCATTGAAATTGTTTATAGAGAACTTCTTTCTCTGTGTCTGTCTGTGCACTTGAACTCATGTTATGTACAGTTTTCTTTAAAGTGGAAATAATGCGAACAATTTGAGTGTTTTTTGTCTGGAAAGCTGAGTACTCTGAGTACTGTTTTATTGAGTGTCTTTCTACTAGACTGATGTACTGCTAAAGAAAAAAGAAAAGATTGTCTTACACCAAAAATACTGAGGTGTTTGACATGGATACTTTATAATGTATCATGCATCATTAGCCTTCCGGGGTGACTTCCTGTTTGATATTTTGGAACATCCCAGCACTGCAGAAGTTGCTGAAGTGGGGAAGTAGTACTAGTCCATCACTTGGTATTCTGTGTTCTGAAATGTGATTTCATAAACACCAAGCTGCCAGAGGAGTTGTTTTTGTTGATCACTGTGGCTCCTTAACTTGCAGGCTGGACATTCAAAATTATTTCTGGAGCAGGTATCTTAGGACAGTGTTAGTCCTCTACTTAAATTTTATATGGATAGGTTTACAGAACGGTGAATGCTAACTGGATTTGGGAATGAAGTGTAGTAAATGAGATCTCATTAGAATATTTTTCTTTCTGTTGGGATTTTATGTTCTTTTTTCAGAGGTGTCTACATGATAGATCTGTTTTCTGTGTTTTAGGTTATTGCTCATGAAATCTCTCATAGCTGGACAGGAAACTTGGTAACCAACAAAACATGGGAACATTTTTGGTAGGTGTGCTGTTCAATGTGCTGAAAATCATGTTTTAAATTTAATTTATAAAGAGACTGACTAAATTAATTTTGCCATCCTAGCAGTGCTGACTTCATCCATGTATTTCCAGGCTGAATGAGGGACATACTGTGTACCTGGAGCGCAGGATCGGCGGGCGGTTGTTTGGTGAGCAGTTCAGGCACTTCCAGGCACTAGGAGGTTGGAGAGAACTGCAGAATACGGTAAATATTTTCTAAGTTTTCATAACTTTCTGCCTAAGCTTACAGTTAAATAAGAAAAGCTGTTTTCATGGGTGACCCACAAATAAAATTTGTTTAGTCAGCTTTCCTAATGCTTTCTTGTTAGAGGATAAAAACTTTGATTCTAAGGTGTATGATTGCTTCTCAAGGTAATAGCTTAATATACACAAATTAGATAAAGCTTTTTCATAGAATCATAGAATTTTAAGGGTTGGAATGGATCTTACAGATTATCTAGTCCCACCCCCCCCTGCCATGGGCAGGGACACCTCCTCACTAGACCAGGATGCTCAAGGCTTCATCCAACCTGGCCTTGAACACCACCAGGGTGGTCCACTACCTCTTTGGGCAACCTGTTCCAGTGTC